GGACTTAAGAAGACACTAGAGCTTGGGAAGCACAGGGGACAGAGGGCAACCAAAGTGAAAGCCTTGGCTGATGGAGAGACATGCAGGGCTGAGGCATTTTCGTAGTAGAACAGACTTCGCAGGTGTGTGTGGCACCGAGCACATGCCATGAACTTAACAAAAGGACCAGAGTGAGTGGCTAAGAGCATGGTTGTCAGTGCTGACACATGGCCACTGAGTCAGGCTCTGCCCAGTGTGACCACAGCTGTGCCATGTGCCCTCTCTGGCCCAGAGCCTCATCTGTAAAATAGGATCATCTTGAGCCAGCGTGGCAGCACGTGCCTATAATGCCACCACTCTGGGAGGCTGAGGCAGGAGGATCACAAATTTGAGCCTAGCCCAGGCAACCTAGTGACATAGCAAGACCCTGTCTTAGAAAAATAAAAAGAGTTGGGAATGTAGTTCAGTGTGATGGCCCTGGGTTCAATCTCTAGTCCCATGAAACAAAACAAAATGAAACAAAACGGAAAGCTCTGCCTTTGGCCTTGAAATGCTGTGAACTGAAACTCTTAATGATTTTATCTCTGAACCTGTGTTTTGTAAGCAAATCCAGAGAACAGAAAAGACACGGCAGGGGGCACTGGGTGGGCTCAGGTCAGCAGGAAAGTCAAGTGGTGGGCAGCACGGGTGCCTAGCTGTTGGCCTGGCCGTCCGGTGGACACCACATGGCTGGATAGTCTGGGACACTGTGGGGCTGCGAGGGGACAGTGAGGGCTGGGACGTGTGCCCAGATGGCAGCAGCAGAACAAATTGGCAATGGCAGCAGCCCACTGGGGCCATGGCAAGGGAAGGGACGCCACACAGAGTGCGTGTCCCTGAGGCAGGTGCACAGGTAAGCTCCCCAGCAGATTGTTACAGAATGAAAGTGTACACCTGGGCATTGCAAGAAAGGCCACTGGGGAACTGTTAGAATCCTTCAAGGTGTTTAGAATCTCTGGTTTTGAAAAGTACTGCAACAGGACAAAGCAAATTATCTGCAGGCTTAGGCAGAAATTAAATGGAAAAAGCAGCACATTCTATGGAAAATAATTGCACGTTTCTGTGAAGCTTCATCGTTAACAGGGAAGGCAATTTCAAGATGAAGTTTTCCTTGTAATTGAAGATACAGCACTCAAATCACATGAACATGTTATTCAAATTATATGCAAATCACGAGGTCATGTTCAGTTCCTTGTACAACCTCCACAAATTGCAGAAAATGTCAGAGGAAGCATTGAACAGCACCATACAAATTTACATGTGAAATTGAATTCAGACTTCAAAGAGACTGACTGGTATGGGCAATCAAACCCTTTTGAAAAATTTGTTTCATAAGAATCAGCAGCTTTTGTGGCACTAAAATTTATATATAAAATAATTTGTCAGAAATTTCATCTGACATGACAGCTTATAAATTTTTTTTTTTTTCGATACTGGGGATCAAACTCAGGACCTTGTGCTTGCAAGGCAGGAGCAGTGCCACTGAGCTAAATCCCTGGCTCTGTTTGGTTTGAGACAGGGTCTTGCTGTGGAGTCCAGGCTGGACTTGAACTCCTGGAGATCTTCCTGCCCCAGACTCCTGAGTGCTTGGCTTATAGGTGTCTACCATGACACCAGGCTTCTGTGAGATATTCTTGGTGGCTACAGTCACAGTGCCATTGCCAGAAAGGTCCTTCTCAATATTTACAATTATTTTAAAAAGTGCTCTTGCATTTGCTAAGAATAACTACTGTAGTTTCCAACTGAAAATGAAGTTGTCAGAAGTGTGAGATTTGATTACTTCAATTTGCAGAAAAATGAGCCAGAGAAATCTTATGATTAGCCATGCTCTCATATTCATATGGTACTGTTATTTATTGTTTTATATAAAATTATGACAGCAAAGTATTTTTGTAATTATAAATTTGTGGTGTTACTCATTACATTGTTTTTTTTTTTTTTTTTGTACCAGGGATCAAACTCCGGATCTTGTGTTTGCAAGGCAGGTGTTGGAACCATTGAGCTAAATCCCCAGCCTACTCATTACATTTTTATAATAAAATATGTTGAAAGGAAAATGTTCTATTTTCACACTAATTTCTACTGCTTTTTTAACAATAGGCTCTGCATTTTCATTTTTCATTTGGCCCTGCCAGTTATGCAGCAGCACTGATTTTGAAACTAGTATTTTTTTTTGGTACCAGGAATTGAACTCAGGACCTCGCACTTGACAGGAAGGTGTGGCACCGCTGAGCTAAATATCCAGCCTGAAAAATTAGTTTTTTGTGTTTTGTTTTGTTTTTTGTGGTACCGGGGATCGAACTCGAGTCCTTGCGCTTGCGCAGCAGGCGGCGAAACCACTGAGCTAAATCCCCAGCCCCTAAATTAGTATTTTTTTTTAAAGGGTTTTATATTTTTTCTTTTTTGGTACTGAGGATCGAACTCAGGTCATTGCACTTGCACAGCAGGTGGCAGAACCACTGAGCTAAATCCCCGGACCACAATACACTTTTTTTTTTTTTTGGTACCGGGGATCGAACTTGGGATCTTGCGCTCTCGAGGCAGGCGCTGGAACCACTGAACTAAATCCCCGGGTCTTCTTTTTTTTTTCAGACAGAGTCTCACTTTGTAGTTCAGGCTGGCCCTGAACTCACTATGTAGCCCAGGTTGAGCTCGAACTCAGGGCAATCCTCCTCCCTCAGCCTCCCCAAGTGCTAGGATTCCAGGCATGTGCCACCATGCCCAGTGGGTTTTATATTTTCTTAAATTGCCCTGACTTAGTGAAAACTCTTTCAGGCCTTGAGTAACTCTCCTCAAGCCTAAAGGTTGACCATCACATTATAACGTTTTTGTTTTGTTTTGTTTTTTGTTTTGTTTTTTTGGTACCGGGGATCCAACTCGGGTCCTTGTGCTTGTGAGGCAGGCGGCGGAACCACTGAGCTAAATCCCAGCCCACATTATAACATTTTTAAAACTACATCAGGGGCCAGGGATTTAGCTCAGTGGTTCCGCCACCTGCCTCGAAATCGCAAGGTCCTAAATTCAATCCCCGGTACAAAAAAACCAAAACAAAACTACATCACGCTGGGCATGGTGGCACAAGCCTGTAATCCCAGCTACTCAGGAAGCTGAGGCAGGAAGATGGCAAGTTGGAGGCCAGCCTGGGCAATTTAGTGAGATGCTGTCTTCAAATAAAACATAGAAAGATCTAGCAAAGTAGTTCAGCGGTAGAACACTTGCCTAGAATGCGCGAGGCCCCAAGTTTAATCACCAGTATTGCAAAACAAAACAAAACAACAAATCCACATCACAGTGAGGACAGCTGGTCACCTTAGAAAGCTGTCACGCCCCACTGAGGCTCCATCGTTCCCAATTCGTCCTCCCCATCATCCCCTTTGGGAGAATCTTCTCGTGCTGACTCCTCTGTTTCTCAGTCACCCCGCAGGTGGCAGAGCAGATCCGGGTGAGTAATGAGGCAGGTAAAGTAGGGGACTGAAGAGTGCAGATGGTGGGAGAACATGCGCGCTGGGCGGGTAGTGTGACTACTAAGCAATGATAGTAATCACCCCACGCACGACCTGCTGTGTGTGTGGGAAGGCAGGATTCTGCTTGGCCTTGAAGCCTTTGGGGAGAGGGGCTGTCAGATGTGAGCTCCGGCCCGGTGGGTATTTAGAACCACACCCCGAGTTGGAACCCGCTCCAGCTGTTTCTCCGTGGCTTGCTGCAGCCTCGAGGTCAGGCCTTCCAGGGGTGGTTGGGCTCTTCTGATTAGGAGCTGCAGTGGAAGCCTCCTTCCGCTGTGGGGGACTGGGGGCGGTCGGGGTCCAGGACATGGATAAGTGGAACTGGACCCTGACACCCGCCCATCTTGCTCTTTCCACTTTCTCTGGTCACTGGCCCTTCTCATTCCGGACTGACCGATCCTGATCCCCCATCCTGGAGGGAGACAAACTGATTGACTTATTCATCCACTCTCCGGGCGTGTGTGGGCGTGGCCAGCACTGTGACTGACAGCCCCGTAGAAGACAGCTCACAGATTTCTCCACTAGACCTGAGCTCCAGTGCCACCCTGGACCAGAGCTGTCACATCTGACTTGCCTTAGTTCATTATTTGCTGACTGGCTGCTTCTCCAAGTCTATCTTGTGTGCCACTCTTATCTCGTCATGGTGATCACTCTGTACAGCCGGCCGCAGCCTCTTGACTGTATCAAAACCGAACACCCCAGTTTGGCTACTCACCCTTCAGTATTTTCCTGTCGCTAACGAGCCAGCCCCTATGGAGGCCTGCAAAGGTCCTTGGAGGATCCCCTGGCCTGCCCCTTATCCTGCCCCTGTCCTTCTGGGCAACTGCTTCACCTGCCTTCCAGCTTCCCACTACCTCTCCCCTAGCCAGGGTCCTCCTCCTTTCAGTCTCTAGAACACACCAGTCCACCCCATCACCCACCCATATGCATCCCACAGAGCTCAGGTTAGGTGTCACCTGTTCTGAGGCCATCTCAGCTCCTCTTGGTCTCAGCTGCATCTCTGGACCTTCTCACACCCCACCCCTGTATCCACATTTGCTTTTATGTTGACTTAATCCCCTCAACCCTAGGTGGCCATGTCTGCCAGGGCAGGGACTCCACTGGTTCTGCGTTGAACTTGAGGCCTCAGCGGTGCCTGGTACTTTCTAGGGCTACTGTCAAGAATGAGTCCTATAATCATGATGTGCACACAGAAGAAAGCGGAGATAGCCTGGAAGGAAGGAGGCTAAACCCCTGAACTTGGTTTCCTCTGGGGTTGGGGAAGCAACCAGGACAGAGTGACTGAGTGTGTGTATACATATGAGGTGGGGATTTTGGCTATAACTGTGGTGATTCTACTTTTCAGAAGGAGAATATAGTCTTCACTGTGTAAATTTAAAGTCAAATAATAATAAACCTGCCTGGCTCGGGTCGGGGAGATGGGGTCAGGCAATCCCAAGACACACTCAAGAACAAAGAAACACCAGGACACACCTGCGATTCGCTGGTGGGTTCTGAGTCTTCACTTTATTACTATGTCACCAGAAGTTACCACCTTCACTTGGTTCACCACAAATGGATGGATGTCATAAAGGAGGGGGCCACAGGGCCACTGGATTCACTCTTGAGAAACTTAACCAGGTGGTGGGGGTCAAGAGCAGGGGCCGGGGCCAGGCCCGCCCTTCACCGCACACACAGATATATTTGTGGAGCCTTATATTATACATCTTATATATAGAAAATATATATATTTATACTATACACAGGCAGTAACGCTGCGAAAGGGGCCAGGACACCCAGGCAGGGCTGTGGGCACCAGGGCAGGGGACTGGGGCAGAGGCGGTGTTGGGCGACGGCTGGACTAGGCCATCCTCCATAAACTCTGGGGTAGGGGATTCCCCCTTCTTGCTCCTTAGAGAATCAAAGGGGTCTTGGGCCAAGGTCAAGGTCCCCCAGGGTAACAAGTCGGGGGTCTTAGTTACATGGGAGAAGCCAGGGACCCCCGGGAGTCTTTAAAGATCAAGAATCACCAGGGCAGGATGGAGTGGTTGACCAATGCTGGTTCCCTGGGAATCAGCCCATCACCGTGACACTCCCGTGTAGGTGAGGAGCCACCCCCACCCGTGTCTATGGAGAAGGCAGAAGCCTGGGCTCCCCACCTCATGCTCTGTGCTTTACCTAGGACAGGTCACTGTCTTCCTGTCCCAGTTCTAAGCTGTTTTAAGGGTCCTTGCAGCTCTAAACTTGGGTGGAACTTTAGTGTCCTGGGTACCTTCTTGTGCTTGATGGTGAGGAGGGTCCCAAATTCCACAGGGCTTTCAGGGGCCCTTTCCTCAAGGACAGTGTGCGAGCAAGGGCAAGCAGAGGGCAGCGGAGGGGAAGGAGATGCCAGATGCTGCTGGTTTGTCGGCTTGGGCCCCCCCAGGTTCCTCCCAGTAGTGGAGTCAGCAGCTCTGTGTCTCATCCCAATTCTACCTTGTCCACCTCTCAGCTCCACCGCTGGTCCCAGCCAGGGTCCTGCCCGATGGTGGATCATGCTGGGTGCCTGTATCTGGGGTGTACCCAAGGAGAGTGAGGGGTGCTTACTGTGATGACTCAGAACCACCACTCCTGGCAGGGCCACCCTGCCCTCTGGCCCGGCACTGGCAGCAGCTGGTTGGCGCCCAATGAGAAACAGATGGAGTCTCTCTAGGCCCACAGCAGGGGAGGCTCCTGGTGGGGTCAGGACTTGTCCCGGGCTCCTGCAGTGGGCACAGAAACACTCCCACGGCCACCCTACTGCTGAGGGCCCCTCTGCTCAGCCCCGAGGTAACTGGCCCCCATGCTGGCCCCACTCCGGCTCACTGGGGGGACTGTCAACAGAGCCCCTTCCCCAGATGTGGAAAATGGAAATCAGCAACATTCGGGGTCCTCTCCCATCCCTGCTGCCCTTGGGCAACCAGGACAGATGAGTTCAGATCTGTGCTTCATTGCTAACTCACTTGTGCTCAGAGCCTCAGTTTCCCCTTCTCCTAAGTGGGGAGAGACACTACCTGTCTGCCTTGAAGTTCCTCCCCCACCACTCCTGTCGTCCTCAGGGCCCTTCCAGGCCCTTCCTCAGAGCCTCAGGCCCACAGTACATGTGAACTGCATGTCTCACCAGCAAGAGCCTGTACCTTTGTTCAGAGCTCAGCCTCCCCAGATTGGGAGCTCTGGGAGGCCGGGGCCACACATCCTCAGGGGCCCCAGCGCAGGTGCCAGAAAGGGCCAGCAAGTGACCTGACTTGTCAGATCCTGGGGGGCCTGGGGTGACAGCGGTGGAGACCCCGTCCCCATGGGCTGCCCACAGCTCTGCTGCTCTGCCTCCCAGTGTGTACTGCGCACAGACGGGCTGCTCTCCCATCCCTAGAGGCTCCAGGTAGAGCATGCTTTGTGCAGTGCTGCCTGCCTGCCCCTTGAGTCCCATCCTCTCTATCCCTTTGGTGCCATCAGCTCCCCTCTCCCACTCTACCCAGAGCTCTCCCTGTGCCACCTCAGGGCAGCATACCCCATGGGCCGGTGCACCATTGGCCCTGTGATCCAAAGCCCACCCCCCCGGCTCCACCTCCCACAGACCTCCCCAGGCCCACAGGACTCCAGCCTCAATCCAGCCTGACCCCTGACTGTCCTAGGTCACTTCCATTTCCAGGGAGGTCACAAGGGTGGCAAATAGGCACCTGCTGAGCAACTCAGGCCAGGAAACAGAGGCATGAGGCCATTGGTGCCACGCACTCGAAGAACCCTGGGCCTCTGTGTCCATTCAGCCCTGGGCGAGGACTCGCTGAGTCCTCTAAGAGGCGGAGGACAGTGATCAGCCCCCTGGGAGCAGGCAGAGCACAGGGACAGGGAGTGACACAGGGAGGCAGAAGTGCTCTCTGAGAAGGTTGAGGCCAGGGGAGGGACCTGCAGGGAGGACGTGCAGCTGGGGCAGAGCCAGCCCTGACTTGCAGCAGAATCAGGGTGTCTCATGGGACCAGGGTCCCCAAGTTCCCCACGATGAGGGTAACACAGAGCAGTGGCGCCCCAGGCTAGGGGCTGGGGACGGTGAGAGGACAGGGAAGAGCAGGCAGGTGCTGGGGGTCTGGGCTGCCTGGGTGCGGGCTCTCCCCTTGGCCAGCTGCCTGAGGGACCCTGGGTAAGTGACCTTGTCCTCCCCAGACCTATTTCCTCAACCATGCAGTGGGGACAGCCCTGACAAGCCCAACAGGCCTGGTGTAGAGGGGGATCTAGATCTAGGGGTGCCAGCTCCCGTGCTGGAACTGAGCCCCCACGTGGCCAGACGTCCAGGCACCATGCCCGTCTCTGTCCCACCATTTCCACCTCTACATCTCAGCTTCGCTTTTCCAGGGACCAGCACTGCCTCTTGGGGTGCTGAGCATGGGCCTGACACAGAGTAGCGCTCAATAAATGCTCGTAGTGTCCTCAGTCCCACCCTCCAGGACCCCGATGGGCACGTGGCCTTGGACACACTGGCACACACACGTAGACACCCCCACACCTGGTGCCCCCATCCCTGCCCCAAGCCACCCTGGGCCTCCATGGAGCGACCTGGAGATGTGAAGGGCTGGGCAGGGTGGGGGTGGGGCGGGGCCAAGGTGGGGGTGGGGTGGGGCAGGCGGTCACTGGGGCTCAGTAGCCCTGGGACTGGTAGCCCTGTGGCTCGGTGTCAAAGGCGGTGGCTGGCTGCTGGTAGGTGCCGCCCATGCTGGCGGGGTCCGGCCCTGCGCTGGGCTCCACATAGGGGGCGTAAGGCATGCTGGAGTCCTGGCTGGGGTCCATGTAGTCCTGGGAGAAGAGGGCCGAGTCGGCGCCAATCTGGTACCGCTGGAAGGCCAGCACAGCCTGGCCCGCCTGGGGACGGGGCCACGGGGACAAGGACGGGAGGGAGGGGATTGTTAGGGGAGAGACAGACAAGAGTTCTGGGTTAGTAGTGGTTAGTTGACGGGACACAGGGTTAAAGATCCTCAAAGCACCAGACATAGAACGAAGCTGTCCCCCGCCTGCTGCGCAAGCACAAGGACTAGAGTTCGATCCCCGGTACCAAAAAGAAAAAACAAAAACAAAAACCAAGCTGTCCCAGCAGCTATCCCATCCAGAGGCCAGAACCACCACATCCAGCCAGAGAGCACCCCCAAGTCACCTGCCCCATGCACCCCAGACCCAGAGGTCACTCTAGGCCACCAGAATGTTTATTTCCTCTGTGGAGGGTTAAGATAGCCCATAAGTCTCTAGCCTTCGAAATATGTGTCTTCTGGGATATTATTCAGCATAGGGAAGAATGTTTCCTAGTAGGACAGAGACAGATCTCTTGGCATTTCCTAAAAACTATCCTTCTGTATCTCACAGCCAGACAGTCATATGACTAAAGTTTTACGAAGGCACTATCTCATGTTCTTTGTCCTTGCCTTTGATCTGATGCCTAGAATGCAAATAAGATGGCTGGAGCTCTAGTTGCCAAAGTAGACCATGAGGATGGAAGATGCCTGGGTCACTGAAGACCCCTCAAGTCATTATGCCAGTCCTGGATTTTAAGTCACCATTACTTGGGATTTCCATCATTGCTGCTAAACCTGAAACACGTAGTCAAACAAATGTAGGGAGTTGAGTAAAACAGAAACAAGTTTCAGGATGTCACGACCTTGACTGTCAGAGCTTGGGCTATTCAGGGAACTCTGACAGCACCTCTGCCAGTCTCACCTGACCCCCGGAGCCCTTCTCACACAGCACACATACGTGTTAGGACATTTTTTTCCAGTAAAACTATTGTTTTAAGACAATGACACTGACCACACCAAGCTCAGGGGTCAAAACCAGCCTTGAGCCAGGTGAGGTGGTGCATGCCTATAATCTCACCACACTAGCAGGCTGAGACACGAGAATTTCAAGTTTGAACTTGGCCTGGGCAATTTAGTGCCTCAAACAAAACACGGCTGGGGATATGGCTCAGTACAAAGGCTCTGGTTTCAATCCCCAGTACTACAAACAAGAGCCTCAAGGGTTATGGCGAAGCCTTCTCCGTGGATCTTTGCAGCCGGCCGCCAGCCTGAGGTGGGAAGCACTATGTTGCCCATTCCTGTTGGAGGCTGTGAAGACTGAGGCCTAGGGAAGGCAGTTAGTGCTGGAGCCCAGCCCTAAGCATGGGGTCCTGATTCTTCCTGGGCCAGTACCCGCTCACCCCCTTCCTTTTGGTCACTCCCCTGCAAAACACTAAGTCAACCAGGAACCCAAAAGGGCCAACTGTGAACAGGCCGGAGTTGTGTACACCTGGCGCTCTGTCCCAGAGGGTTCTAGAAGCCCGGTGCCAGGCATTACTTGGAGGACTCTGGGGCAGCCTTTCCCGGGAGGCAAAGCACAGGGGCCTGGGAAGGGGAGACCATGTCTAGGGAAGTAGGGCAGAGGAGTGCACCTCGTCAGTGGGCTGCTGGGGGCTCAGAGCTGAGCCTCAAGAGGTGGGGTGGGGACAAGGAGCTCCTGGGGGCACCTGAGGTGCTGGTGAGCCTGTGGGAGCCCAAAGGAACGAGAGCAGGGTCCGCAGGCCTGGTCCCCCTCAGCTCCCTACTGTACTCGGGAAGGGGGCTGGAGCAGATAGCCTCTGCAGACCCTCCCAGGAAGCAGGCTCTGGCCACTGGAGCCAAGGATGTGATGGTCTGGGGGTCAGCCCTCGGCCCTATGGGCTCAAGGCCTCCTGTGGCCAAGCAGTTCAAGGGGGCCCAGGACAGGGACAAAGGAGCGGCCTAGGCCCACACCAGATGAGGCTGCAGAGGGGAGGCCAGGAGTCCTGGTCAGTCCTGGGACTTGGGGTCCACCTGGTGCTCTTCCTAGCACACTCTGCAGCATCCCCCTGGGCAGCAGGTAGTCTGCACTTGTATGCCTCTGGTGCCAGGATGCTCACTCCTGTGGTGCTCAGCTCTAGCTCGGCTTGGGTGCTGCTCCTTGCCTCTTGTGGAGAGGAGGGCTGGGGGCAGGGGCAGGCAGCTGAGCCCAGGGAGGGAAGCTCTGCAGGGCTGGAGGCCCAAGTCCTCTGGCAGAGCAAGGGCTGGTCACCCCTACAACAGAGCTTACAGAGGAGCCCAGCTCTCTGGAGAGAATGAATGAATGAGTGACTGAGTGAATAAGTACAAGAGCTTACACTTATTGAGCATCCCTGTGCCAAGCTCTGTGTTGGCCTGTTCCATCTGTGCAACCCCCTGGAGAGGCCGGTCCATTATCATCTGTCAGCCCAAGGAAATGGACTGAGGCTAAGAGTGTGCAGGGGTTTCTCAGTCACCCAGCAAGGGTAAGCAGGACCAGGCCGAGAGAGCCCCGCTATCCCAGGCTACACCCCTCCTGGCAGCCACTCTCCAGGGGGGTGCAAGATCATCCTTCACACCCTGTCCCCAGGACAGACCATCACACCCTGGCCAAGTACCTTGGGCCATGGACACTTCCAGCAAGCAGAGTCCCCCCAGCCTACTAAGAGCCTGTGGCCCATCTGGGGGCAGCTCTGATGTGTCTGTCTCCCCCGCCCAGTCTGTGGGCTCCTGGGGCCAGGGACCCTGTCTAACTCATCATAGGCACAAAACAGCTGCTCAGTAAATGTTTACTGAATGAATGAAGACACAACAATGAATGAAGAAGGCACTGAATGAAGGAAAGAAGTGGCGAATCTTAAACCCTGGGGCCGGGGGATGGCTGGGGCTGTGCTGAGCCAGAGAACAGCGTGCTGTACTCCTCCTGGAAGGTAAGGTCCTTGTATCTGCGCGCGGCCAGGGCTGCGGTGAGGCTCTGCCAGAGAGAGCAAGGTGAGGCTGCTGGGGAGGACTGGGAAGGGCAGAGGCGCCAGCAGAGGGCCACTGTGACTCAGCACTTCAGCTCCGCCCCCAGAAATCCTGGTGTCCAATCACCCATTCCTCTCTAGAGCCCTGCCCAATCTCAGGGCCAGGCTTCTTCCCTGGAAGCTGTGTGGTCTCCAGTTCTGGGGTGCCTTCTTGGGCCTGAGGTCCCCTGGGGTGACCTTGTTCCTCCTGCCCAGCCTTGAAGACATAAAGAGCCAGAGTGACCATAGCTGGACTACGAGGAGCTGGGCCACAGGTCTCCCCCTGCAAACTCCACCTTCCAATACTGGACTGGGAGGCTGGGCGCCCCGGAAGAAAATGAATAACCAGGGGCCCAAGCAAGAAGAGAAAGAAATGAATGGGCATGATGGGCCACACCTGCAATCCAGCCACTCAGCAGGCTGACATGGGAGGGTCACAAGCTCAAGGCCAGAAGAGGCAACTTGGTGAGGCCCTATCTCAAAATAAAATAAGAGCTGGAGGTTTAGCTCAGTGGCAGAGCACCCCTGGATGTGATCCTCAGAAGGGGTAGGGGAGGCACCTCAGGGAGGATACGGAGGGCTGGCTGCCTGTCTACAGCCCCAAGTTGCCTTGTGAGAGGCTTGGAGGGACAGTGCTGTGGACAGGGAAAGGGGAGTCCAGGGATGGCGGCTGGAGCCAAAAAGACCTTGTGTCTCCACAGGAGGAAGAGAAGGACCGAGGAGAAAGGAGATGGCTAGACTCAGGGAGAAAGGGGTTGGCCTCCACTGCCTGGCCGGTGCCTGCACAGGACTGGTCTCCTGGCTGTCGGGCCCAGGGCCGTGCTTTCTTTGACTCACATTTTTTTTTTTTTAACTTGAATAAACTAACAATACATAGAGGTCAGATTTCATGTAAAAATTCCAGTTTCTGGCTTCTTGGGAAAAACTAGAAGTGTTGGCCTCTGCAGGTCCCCATCCCCGCTTGGCAACAGGAGCTGAGCAGAGGGGCTCCTCTTAGGATGGACAGGCACAGGCCACCCAGCCCAAGCACCTAGGCCTGGGACCGCTGGCCCCTCCTTCCCCTCATTTTCTAGATGGAAGACAGGAGCCAGGACAGTGGGGCAGCTCTAGGTATGAGACGATCTCCTAGCTCCTGGCCTGGCTCCTTCCCAGCCTCAAATCCTGGAGCCCCACTTTCCTGTGCAGGCCTAAAAGGGGTGCTGAATGCCATCCACAGAGTGGTAGTGGGGTCTGTGACCCCACAGGCAGAGCTGGGAGGGAGTGAGGCCACCAGCCTGGGACCTGCAGGATGGGAACGAACATGGGTGCTATACTCACCCAAGTGAAGATGGAGAAGAAGGAGAAGGCTATGGCAGCCCGGGCTGCGTCGGTCCCTTCGTTCAGTGGGTTGTCCTTGGGCTTGGAGACCTGCCACTGGTTGGCCAGGAAGCAGAAGCCCACGAACCACAGGAAGGCCCAGAAAGCTAGAGGTCCCCAGGCCAGGTGCAACAGGTGAGGGGAGGAACGAGGCAGTTCAAAAGCAGGTCTCCCGTGCTCCCCACCCCAGGCGGGGCGAGGGGAGCCAGGTGGGGGTGAGAGAAGGCACAGGTGAGAGGCAGAGGCAGAAGGGAGCGCAGGGAAGGAGCAGACAGGAGGCAGCAATAAAGGGAGCAGGGTGCGGGGAGAGAGAGAAGGCAATCAGCTCAGGCGCACTTCCCCAGCCTCTGTGGGGCCCCATCTCCAGCCGCATCCCAGACTTGGGCCCCACAGCCCACCCCTGAGGCTGGCAGCTGTCCCTGGAGGACGACCACCATCCTCCACCCTGCTTAGGCAAGAGATCTGAGGGCAAGCAGGGCAGCTCAGCCTGGGTGGGTCTGGACCTTGACTTCCAGTACCTTGCAGCCTCACAAAGTTCTTGGAGAGCAGACATCTGGGGACGTAGCAGGGGAGGGAGCCTTGTGGTGACCCAGGGTCACCCAGAGACGCCCAATGCTGCCCAGGACATTGAGTGCTGCACCCAGAGGTACCCAGGGACCCTGGGGCTCTGTGGAAGTTTGAGAACCTTAAATTTAGTCCTGGTTCCTTCTAGAAGGCCTAAGGGGCCCTAGGCCTGGAAATCAGAGACGTCTCTCCCCAGACCCCCAAGTCCCCAGTCTCAGGGCAGGGTGGCTGAGGCACACAGGTCTGACCAGACAGAGAATCTGCCAAGCCAACTCCTGGGACTCAAGGGACAGGGGTCAGGGGCCTATGCTAGAGATGGGAAACAGGCTCAAAGGAACTGACTGTGTGCTGGGGTCTAGCCACCCCTCATTTGTTCTCCAAGGGACCCACCGGGGAGGAGTGCAGAGGGGTCACTGGAGCAAGACCTGACTTAGCCCTGTCCAGCCCCTGCCCAGGAGGGCCTTGCGCTGTCCTGAGTACCCACGCTCTGCCATGGTTTCGTCGCCCCCTTGCCAGCATGCACCCCTGAGTCTGTGTCTGTGCCTCCCTGTTCCTCAGTCTCCCTGTGGGAAACGGGGAGGGAGCGGTGACTGTCCTGTGGCCAGTGCTCACCAGAGACGCCGATGTCAGACAGGACGGCCTTCTTGCGGTCCTTGACACTGCTGATCTGGGGGAAGTAGATGTCCAGGGCCAGGTAGAGCAGGCAGGTGAGGAAGGCCAGCACGCCCACCGCCACGCCGTAGCTGCAGGCGTTGGGGTTTCGGTTGTAGATGCAAAACTCCTCGCCCTCTGAGGGTCTGTTGAGGTAGCCCTCGTTCACGATGGAGCCAAACACCACGATGGAGAACACCTGAGGGTGGACGTGGGTGCAGTGGGGACAGGTGTGAGCCCTGGCAACAGCTGTCTCCCAGGGCCAGCTCTGAGGCGGGGTGGGTGCCACCTCCATGTTGGCCTGCCACCTGCCCTTCTGTGAGCCACAAGACAGGTGTTGAGCAGGCATTTCAAAGGGAGGCCCAGAGAAGCAGGGCAACTTGCCTGGGGTCAGCCAGAGTGGGATCAATTATTTCCTTCCATAGTGGTAGGAACTGCGAACCCCTCTTACCAGACATGCAGCAGCCTAGCCAGAGAGGTCTTCCTGGCCCTGATCCCAAGGTTCCCCTAGGACTGGCCTGGTGTCGCAGAAAAGGGAGCTGCAGGGCCTGCAGGCTGTGACCCGGCCACTCCCCACCCTGGCAGACTCCCCCAGAGGCCTTGCTGTCCAGCCCCACCCCCACCTGTGTGTCCTCTGTGGGGCCATGTCCTGGCTCTACACCACTTCCCAGTTGCCAGGGCAACCATGGCCCTGACGAGCAGATAGGTGACAAAAAAAAAAAAAAAATCACAGCAGTCACAACCCTTCAGCCTCATTCAGATCTTTCCTGAGACAGGTAGGACAGCTCCATAGGCAGCCAGTGAGATGGCCCTGTTGACCCATCCTCTAGAATCCACATCCCTTGAGGGCACTGGACCTAGTTAGTGACTTGCTTCTAAAGGATAAAATATGGCAAAAAAAGATGGGTTTCACTTTGAGTGTAGGTCACAAAAACCATGGCCCAGCAGCTGCACATGTTGGCTCATGCCTATAATCCCAGCACTCTGGCAGGCTGAAGCAGAAGGATTCCAAGTTTCAGCCCAGCCTGAGGAACTTAGCAAGACCCTGTCTCCAAATAAAATATAGGCTGGGGATGTAGCTCAGTGCAAAGGCCCCAGGTTCAATCCCTGGTACTCCCCTTCCACCCCAAACAAGACTGTGGTGGCACCCGTGTATAATGCCAGCGCTCAGGAGGCGAGGCCAGCCTGGGCTACATAGAGAGTTAAAGGCCAGCCTGAAGTACAAAACAAGACTTAACTCAGAAAAAAAAAAAGACCGTGGGGCCGGGGATTTAGCTCAGTGGTTCTGCCGCCTGCCCCACAAGTACAAGGACCCGAGTTCGATCCCTGGTACAAAAAAAAAACTATGGCTCCCACTTTGCTCACTCTTTGCCGCCCAACCCTGCTGCTCTGACGCAAGCCAGCTATTTACTTTTTCTTCTTTTGCAGTGCTGGGCCTGGAGCCTAGGACCTTGTGCATGAGAGGCAAATGGTCTCCACTGGGCCGCACCTCAGCCCTGTTTGATTTCCCACATGGCCGGGACCTAAAGAAGTCCCTGCTCAACAGCAGAGCTGAGGCTCTGCCAGCAGCATGGAAGTGAACCTGAAACCATCACCCTCAGAGGAGCTGGCAGGAGAGACTGCAGGCCTGGCTGACACCGGCTGTAGCTTTGCAAAAGAGCTGGTGGCAGCAGCAACGGCACCCAGCTAAGCAGATTCCTGACCCACAGAAATAGTGAGATAACACATTTGTTGTTTTGAGCCACAAGTTTTGGGGCAGTTTGTTACACGCCAACAGCTAACACATCAGCTTTCTGCAGATGAAGTGGTCAAGGCACAGGTGGGGTTTTTTGTTACTTGTTTTGCGGTACTAGGAATTGAACCCAGGGATGCTGTACCAGTGAGCTATACCCTCAGCACTTTTTTATTTTGAGACAGGGCCTCGCTAAGTTGCCCAGGATGGTCTCGAACCTGCAACCCTCCTGCCTCAGCCTATTACAGGTGGGTGTCACCACACCTAGCTCAAGGCACAGGTGTTGTGACTATGCCCAAAGTCACACAACTGGAACCTGACAGAGCTGAGTTCTAAATCCAGAGACCTGACTTAAAGTTCGTGCTTTCTCTTTGGGCTTCTTGCCTCCTCTGAAACCAGGTGGGACAAGCAATCCCTGACCCAAGGGACACATGCTCAAGAAGTGTCAGCCCCTGTGATGAGCTGGAGGTGGAGTGTGGAAGAGACTATTGCCCATGTCCACTCGTCTTCACTTTCCATTTTTCCTACAATAAAAAACTATAATTCGGATGATCCAGGTACGTTTTCCGCCACAGCGGTCACCAAGGAGAGTACTTGTGGGTTTGGGGGAGAGAATGAATGGTGCTGTCAGAATCATTCCCTAACCTTATCTACTGCCGATGTCTAGACAGTCACATGCCACCTATGATGTTCTGGCTGGCGATGGACAACAATGATGGTGGCCCCATGAGACTGGTATCGCCCTAGTTTGTGTGAGCAACTCTGACATTTACACAGTGACAGAATGGCCTATCGCATGCTCAAGCTGTGTCCCCTTTGCTAAGCAACGCCCAACTATATTTTACCTGGACTTTATCTTCTCCAGGACATATGAGTGCAGTAGTAACACATAAAACAAACAAACCTGCATTTAATGGGAAGACTGATGAACATTTTTCTTTAAAGGAAGGCAAATGTTGGAACCAAAGTTTGGAGACCACTGATTCATGACACTGTGTCCTTAAGGGGGATTTGGACCCAAATGGGCACCAGGAATAATGGAGAAAGAAATTGTGGGGCTGGGGATTTAGCTCAGTGGTTC